TTGTCGCTCGCGCGCTGGAAATATGAAGCTTCCCATGGATTGTTGATTGGTTTTCCGGATTGTTATAACGCTGATTGAAACGAAAAGAATCGTTCGCTAGTCGATTTTTGTTCGGAAGTGCCGGCTGAACGAAGATAAATGAAACGCATCAAAGAGGCGTCTCGCGTTGTTATTATTTGCATAACGAAGCAGCCAGCCCCAGCCGCCATTCTCCCTCTCCTCGCCGCTTCGTCTTTTTAAAAGCGAACTTGGAGAAATTCCCGACGAAGTTCTCATCGAGTTAAATAAGAAGCCGCAATTAATCACTTGCTGTTTTTCAGCCCTGCCTTCGTGTATCTGTATTTAACACCGCTTTTTATACCGTGAACTTTCGGGCGGACTTTTAACAGGACGGAATCTTGTTACGCTTCTTCCTCAACTTTTGCGGCGAACGGAGCAACTTTCCCCAGCAACTTGCTCCGCCCGAATATTCGAATATTAAAAAATATCGCGGAGCTGACGATTCGGTCGATGTCGAAGCGCCGACAGAGCGTGATGAACAAATAATTCTGATCTTCGTTTTCAACCCTTCCAGCGTCGAGCACAACGATACGTCGTTGCGTGTGAGCCACCACGCTCAAAAATGGCAAGCCTTTATTTGTTAAATGCCATACTTCGTAGATTATTTATTTATTTGTAAAGTGTTTCTCGTTATTTTTTAAAATGTTCCTTTTATAATCATTCGAAAATAAATTCTTGCCATTTTTCTCCATTTTTTACCAAATTAATTTCTGCCTCGACGCAGAATTATTTTCTCGTTTGCATTAAGAGGATTGCAAACGTTTCATTGCAAGCTTTATAAATGACCGTTGAAAATAAAATTTTGTTTGTTGTTGTTATTATTACTATTATCATTATTAGACTTTGAAATTTAAAGATGCGTACAATATACAAAGCTTTGGATATATAAAACAGCCAAACGACAGAATTCATTCGAATTTTTAAAAGAAAAAACAAATCTCAAGTTTTGTTCCTCTAGATGTGTCCATGAAAATATTTTGCACAAAAATTCACAAGTCTAGTTATCGTGAATAAGATATACTTCAACAAAGATTGTACATTACTAAATTAGTTTAATTATAGTTTGGAAATCACAGTTATAATTAGGTATGTATCTATACGTTATTAAGGATTATTTTATGAAAGCGATACACATTCAAATAACAGAAACTGATTATTCATATAATGAACTGAAATATTGATTTATCGATTAACGTTTATCATCACTAAAATAATAAAACACTTTGAGAGATAAACAGTTTCTTAACGTTGCAATCTCCGTGAAATGGAAACTAAATTTTCATCGAATGAAATGATCCAAAGGATGATCGTTGAATCGGAAATTTCACGAATCTCACGAACACGGTTGTTGATTAATCATATATGGGGCGTATATCGTAGCTCGAAACTCGGGCGAGAAATATTCCCCAGTTCCGTTTGCGTGGTTCAACCGGAAGGGAGGACCCGGTGGTAAGAAAATTAGACGTTTCACGCAAGGAGAATTCCATTCTCGTCCGAACGACATTCTCAGCCTCTCGAAAATCCCGTACGCACGGTGTTTTAATAATGAGGCGAAAGACCTGGCACCCCGTGTCTCGCCGTTGGATTCATTAATTTCCAAGCCGCAGTTTCTAATTGGGTGCCTAATATTTTATTTATGAACCGCGTCGATTCCAGGGGCGAGAAGAGCGTTTCCCTGTTAATAACGTTAGTTAAATTTCCCCGTGCGAGTATCTACGTTAAGAAGAAGTCTCTTAAGAAATTCGTTCCACAATAATCGTAACCACAATAATCGAGCTACGACTCGATCGGAGAAAAAAAAAAAAAAAAAAAAAAA